CTTTCGCGGCCTTTGCTCCAAGCAGTCTCAAGAGTCGCTAGATAATGTCCTCATCGACTTGTACAAGGTACGATAATACTTTATACGCCGCATGTACCTGTTGCTTCGCTTCCGTCTATACATAAACTCATTGCATACTATAGTATAAAGTGCTTTAGGTATATAATCCTTGGTATCATGTTGACAAATACGTCGCTGGAGATGATATGCACGTATGTTTACAACTCAAGTACATAGAAACCTTTCTGGATGGTGGTGAATCCATGGCTTGCGTGCATTGTAAATTGATGATGTGATAATAATCAGTAATCAGTACGACCTCCGGCAATCATGGATAAGTGATTAAGCACTTTAAAGTAGATGTCGCGGTTTCATGTTCAAATCAAAGTTTCTCATACTTATCACGAGAGGAAACTTAAGGAGCCACTACCACTACCCTGTGGATGAAGCCTTATTCGATGCACGTAAACGGGGGAGATTTCCACGTATCCCTAAGGATTGGTCAAGTCGAGATAGTTGGGCTATCTCGTGTTATCAAAATAATTAAAGACAAGATATGTACTATGTAATTCATAAAAAGCTAGATAGATAAATAGATATGCATAGAAGCTGAACGTACGCGGTGATGAATATACAGAACAGAGATGATTTTTTTTAGATCTACAAGAGATTAATAACAACGAAAAGGGAATTGAACGGTATTGACCTTCTTTTGTTTTCATTTGTGGGAATTATGACGTACAGAAATGTGGGAAAGTGGAGGAGCAAATAGAGCTGCTGAAGAGGAAGCTGAGACAGATATACCAAGGCCAGATCTTCAATGGGAAGCCCACCAAGACCGCCCGATCTCATGGCAAGAAGTTCCAGGTCTCTGTTAAGCAAGAGACCTCCAGGTTATTGGTATGTTCCCCCAGTAATTTTATTTATTTATCATACATAATTAAATTTAAAAAAATACTTAGCTTAATATTAATTTCTAAATACGTGACGAAATGCAGGGAAATTTGGGATGGGCCTACATGCAGAAGCCCAACTACATGGCAGCTGAAGTGGTGTATAAGAAAGCCCAAATGATCGATCCGGATGCCAACAAGGCCTGCAACCTCAGCCTCTGTCTCATCAAGCAAGGCCGGCACGATGAGGCGCGGACGATTCTTGACAACGTGTTGGGAGGCAAGCTTCCGGGCTCCAATGATCATAAGCCGAGGACGAGAGCCGAGGAATTGCTGTTGGAGGTGAGGTCGAGGCAGCCGCAGCCTGATTTCTCGGATCTCTTGGGCCATGACATCGACGACGACTTCGTCAAGGGGATCGAGAAGCTGATGAATGAGTGGGCTCCGTCCAGGTCAAAGAGACTCCCGGTTTTCGAAGAGATTTCCTCATTCAGGGATCAGCTGACATATTAATAGGACATTTGCTCTCTCTCTCTCTCTCTCTCATGTTGTGGTGGGTCTGAATTAGGTATAGAGGAAAACAGGATTTGAGTTCATATGTTGTCTGTGAATATGCCGGTCTGGTCGTAGAGTGGGCGGTGCTCGGTGACAGCTTGGATGGGCAAGGGAGAAGATCCAGCTGATTACTGATAAGGCATGGGTTTGTCCAAGCAAAAATTATCTAGTTGAAAACCAATAATAGCTTATTGGCCTTGTTATTTTTGCTGTAGAAATGAACAAGGTGGTTTGGAATTCTTATCGCTTTTGCCCGTTTGCCAAAGTTCTGTGTCCAGCAAAGTTAGAGGCTCAATAACGTCGAGGTCTATTGTGAGCACGCTATTCAAAAGAATGCAATGCACACTAAAGATAAGCGGATCTAACGAGAGCAATAACTCGCAAACCATTCTAACATTACGGTAGAGCACATGGAGAAACTGGAGGAGCAAATCCAAACTAGAAGCTGGATTGCTTACTTTGTTTTTGTTATGGAAGCAACACAAAAATTGCCACTCGGCGCATGGTAACAGACCGAAATTGCACCTACATGAGCATTGTGGAGTCGAAGCTGAAATCTATGGATGAAGTTGTAAAGTGCATCACCATTTCCAAGAGAAAAAGAAAAGGCTCGTCATGACAGAAAGAACGTAGTTGAGGGCATCGAGGAAAAGTGCAGCAACCATTATTAACATAATTGATCATATCGAGCTCATATGCAAAAGAAGAATGTTTGGCCAAGATTCCAAGCCCAAACTAGCAAGCAAAACGCATGACACTCCACCTGACTCAAATTATCAGCACCCGTAGGTCGCTGACATTACAATCCCGGGCGCGTTGATCATAGAGCTTGTCCAAGAATACAAACTATACAAGCAACGTATTTCTTCTATAGGCTATAGTATAATGAAGGACCGTGTAAAAAACAAAAGAGGAAAGAAAACTCACAGGCAAAATACCTTCAAGACAGGTTTATAAGAACCTCTGAGTAGCACCACTCCACTATTTACCACCACAATTGAAGCCATGACAAACAGATAAAACAATGATCAGAATCAAAGCAATAATAATGCCCAGAACTATCAGCTTTATTTTCATGTTCTGCAGCCACATTTTTCTTCGCATTTTGGTTCCCTGCTGCCTGAAGTCTTGCGCCTGGAGCAGGAAAACATGTAAGCCAAGCACTGATATCCAAACTGTATTGGCCAAAAAAAATCCTCATCTTGTTCTATTTCTTGATATTGTCAGTACTGTCACGCACTAGTTCGTCTTAAGTACTTCAATAACAATCAACAAGCAATATTCACAATCTAGTAAGTGCAAAAACATTCTGAGATATCATAAGCCCTAATTGCACAAGAATAGGACCATGTGATTTCTTTTGTGTGTGTGTAGTGTGTGTGTGGGGAGAGAGAGAGAGAGAGAGAGGGCACCACCTTGATGACACACAAAGGGACCAACATGGCACAATAATACAAATTGAGCCTTAATTCCTACCAACTCCTCAATAAAATTATTGACATTCTCTCTAGGAGGAGGGCTCCTGACAAAATCGTCAGCATATGACTAGTGTCAGTGCTTCTGGTTTTCGTAGTGCCATGTGATCTCAGTCAGATTATACTGGAATTACCCATTAACTTTGCACTTAACAAATCCCTATTTTGTATCCACCTTTGCTACTAGAGTTTTTTTTTTTTTTTTTGTGGAAAGGGGGGGGGGGGGGGTCTCAGATTGCTATGAGAGTTGACTCAATGTATATTTGATGAAACTCCTCCCTATATCCCACTTCTCTCTCCACTTATTTAATCTGGGAAGCTCATGTCAAGGTTATGTCATCAGTGAAGAGAGGTTAGTCTTAGTGAAAGATGAAACAAGATGTTAATAAGAATGAAGAAAGCGAAAAGCAGACAACTGAAATTGAGATTGCTGTGAAGGACCATCACTATTGCTATGAGTATGGTTTGTCTTAGCTTCATATTCCATACATAGTTTGTGCTCTCAAGGAAAAATTTGAAACAACAGGCTCACTATGGTAGATGGAAGAGATGGTTTCTAACCTGAGAACGAAGATTGTCTGTCTTATCAACCAGAAGTTCGATTTTTTCACCACGATCAAGAACCTAGATAACAGAATTAAAGCAAACCATAAGTCTATGACATAAACGCAATTTCTAATAAAACTTCACTTATTGATCACGCATAACTGTAATTCCTTAAACAAAACTCAGTAGAGGAATTAAAAATGGAAAAGAGAAAAATCTTAAAATTTCTGATTTTCAATAAAAAAAAAAAGGATAGGAATTGAAAATTGAAAAGTGAAAACTTAAAAACCACAAAAGACAACATGCATTAGGCAATAGATGCATCTTCTTTCTGTTCTTTACAACACTCACACAACCAAATAAAAGGACATACGGTTTACTCCAACTTACCTTCTCAATATTCTCCATCATTACTCCCTTCACCTCAGATACCTGAGCTTTCACCTTAGCAAGCTTGCTAATCTCTTCCGGATGATCAACACAATATTGCATGTGCTCCTTGAGTTTAGGCCTATGTCAGTCAAGATTGCGATTAGCAACTTATGTGGGGGAGAACAGATATAGTTCTTTCCATATCCTGAATATTAGGCAATTTACCCAAACTCCCTGTTCAAGCTATTAGCGGCTGCTGTTGCAGCTTTTCCTGCATCATATCTGTGAGTAAAGTCCTCCTTGATCCGCTCAAGGAAGGCCATTGGAATCTGGCGCCCAACAGACTCAACTGCAACCACACAGAAAGCTGCAAAATCGAGATGACAAAGTTAGTTTATCATAGCACGAGCACAAAGAAGGCAATCTGACCCTGATAACTGGTGAGAATAAGCGTCTAACAAAAGTTAACACGTTCGCAGAATCTTATTTCTCATTTTCAACAACAAAGAGCGACCATGGAAATTGGTCCGCCATATATCAGGTTTCTTTTTCTGGCTTAGAGAAGCTCCGGGTTCCTCAGCCATGTAGTGCGTGATTATGAGTGAACTCCCCAGTTGTTAACGAATGGGTTATTTCTTCACAGTAATGGTATCCTAGAAATGGACGAAATTCACAGCATGATGTTAATATCGGGTAATTCAACAACTTGATGTGGCACAGAATAAGTACATATCTTCAAAATGAAAGTACCCTAACGGCACATGGCTTCGCCTAATTTGTACAATAGTGCTAGGTTCCATGTTGTAGGGAAACCAGCTACAAAAATGCACATCAAAGACATCCGAGCGAAACCAGGCAACAAAGATTAGCACCTTCCAGCATACGAGAGATTACTCCTGCAAACTCTGAGTCCCAGTGTATTAGGTTGTTTAGAACTTCTTAGCCTCAAAAACCATTTCCATTAGCAAAACAACTCTCTCTCGATCTCAAGCTTGTCAAAATAATATCCACATGTATGTCCTTCAGATGCATCTGCTTTACGTATTTTAGCCATCTATCAAATCCTTTTCTTCTTGTTTTTTGTTGCGATCAACGCAACGTAGAAGCCAAACCGTTCATTAGATAAGCCAAAGACCCCAAGATCATTGCAACCAATAAGTAAAGGATACATTGACTATCCAACGAATATATTAATTAATTCATCCTATAGAGATATGCATTATACTACAGGAACTGGTACATCCTAATATTAAAATCGAGAGCTCCGAATGTACTGTCCGTCTGCAGAAGCATTAAATAATTATCTCGTGCACCAATTAGATCAATCCAGCAACAAGAGTATCCCACCTTCCCCCCCTCCCCCTCAAACTAGTCAGACTTGCGCAATCTATTCCAACAAACCCCTGTCGATCACTGAAACTTCTCTAAACACCCGCCCTTCCGGACGAGGCCAGAGAAGCAGGATCCACCACCACCGGCAAGATGAGAGCGAGCAATGCGAGTTCCGAAGCGGAGAAACAGGCCGCGGAACCGGACGTAACGGAACGGAACGGAACGGATCGGCGAAGCGAAGGAGGAGGAGGAGGAGGACTCACTGAGGCCATCGTCGACGAGGTAGTTGAAGGTGTGGCCGTCGCAGTTGTAGGTGAACTTGTTGCTGGTGGCGGGGAGCTTCTGGAGGCACTGCGAGGCGATGCTGGTGAAGTTCCCGGTGAACTCGGTGTACTCGACCAGGAGGGCGGTGCCCCGGGCCACGAAGCTGTAGATCAGCGATTGCTGCCCCATCCGGTCGATCCCCGCTCGGCCTCGACGGCGAAAGCGACCAAAAAACCCTAGCGCCGAGAGATAGAGCGAAGAGATGCAGAGCGAGATTCGAGAGGTTTCTGTTGCAGAAGACAGCGAAGGAAAGGAACGAACCTGTGAAGAGAGAGAGAGAATGGCGATGAGGCTTGGAAGAGAGGGAAAAAGGTGGCGGAGAGAGGTGGCGTGTTCCTTTTCCTGGTTCGGACGGTCGAGCGATGCTGACGTGGATCGCTTCGCTTTTGCCGGTGAAACGTCGCCGCTTTGGAAAAAGAGAGCGCGATCTCATTTGCTTGAATTTAAAATTCGAAATCCTTTAAATCGCACTTTCCCTTGCTTTTTTAAATAAATTATCATTAATTATTTAGTGGGCAGCAATCGTGCTGTGATTTGGATTTTTTCTGGCCAAAGATTGAAGCTTGATAGTGCTGGTTAGTGGTTAGGTTGGTGTTTTTTTTTTTTGAGAAATGGACAAATGAAGTTTGCTTTTGAAATATGGAAAAGATACAGTAGATTTCGGGTGCATAAGATACTCTCGTTAGCTTGTAAGACACGAGCTAAAGGCCTCGGAGATTGATTTTCTTGTAGCTTAAGGAAGCAAACGTATGTACTAATCAATACAGTATGGATCTCAAGTAAGATGAAGTGACTAATCATAAAAAGAGGGAATGATGTTAGGGAGAGGTATGCAAAGCATTAACCGAAACATATATCGACCAATGTTAACGTCAACATAATTATCGGTAAAAGAGAAATATATATTTTAGATCTATATGTATATATTAACACGTAGAGTTGATTGGTGATTAAAGACAAACTTGCCTTTGGTGTAAACACACGACGTAAGTCCCGTTTTTCATTCCTTTAGGTACAAATGATCCCATGGTTAGGTCAACAGTATAGTCGCTTCTATGTTTTAATCTGTTAATTCTCTCGTTTTCCTTTTCATTCGTACTTATTTCAAACGTAATTCTACTAAATTACCATTACACGATATTGATGTAGATTAGTTAATCGAAGCTCTTTTCCTTATTTTCATGTCCCAACTTTTCGTTAATTTCACCGATACACATCATTTTTAGCTACCATTTGATTTTTCACTATCAATTTTGTTCAGGTCTTGTTCACAAGTACCTTTGGCCACTTGTTAATCATGTCTAGCAAGGAAATATTTTCATTTCCAGCGCACTGAGTATATACATTGATTAGACAATGTCAAACCTTCTTTGCTTTATCGAAATGTTTAACAGCCAGGCACTAGTTAGCAAAAATCATATGGCGATCGGCATCATTACTACATGCGGTGATAGAAGAAGAAACCGGAGGCCTTCGACAGAGACCAAAATACTAAACATAGTTTTGAATAACGCAATTAATTCTTGCAACACAAGTTCTAACTTCTAACCAGATACTTAGGGCTATCTGGGGCTAAGTTCCATAATATCCTTTTCTATGATTTAAACGCCTAATTCAAAAAAAAAAGCACTAATTTTAGGTCGAGTGACAATTCTGACCTAAACTTTTTTTTTCTCGTAAAAAAAATCAACTTTTACTTAAATCTCAAATCTAACCCCCATTGACTTAGAACCATTAATTATCCAATTTGACTATTACACTTTAGCAATAAATCCATGTGGCTTGCTGATTGGATTTAAAGCACTATTCATCGTCTTATTTTCTGAGCTACAACTTGAAGAATAACGGTGAAACTGTTCGTCTCCTTCACTTCATTGGCAAGTAAAAAATATCTCCAGATAGAATCTCTCTGGCCAAACTTCGTCGTTTTGTCGTAATTTGAAGCTGTAGACTATTGCTCTTTGACAGACGCCATGGACGAGATCTGCCAAGCTCACCACCATAATATTTTTTCTCAAACAAAAGTGACTTTAAACAGAGAGTCAACAGGGGGGAAATTTGGGATAAGGGTGAAACTTCGTGATTTTTTATGAGACAAAAAAAGTTAGGGCCAGAATTGTTACTCGATCTAAAGTTGGTGCTTTTTTACGAGACAAAAAAGAGTTTGAGCCAAAATTGTCACTCGACCTAAAGTTTGTACTTTTTTTTTGGACTTAACCCTAATTTAAACTTTTAATTCTTGATGAGAACCACATAACCCCTTTAACTATTATTCTTTCAACCTTTACTTTTTATCTTAAAACTTTGGAATGGTTGAGTGACCAACTGCCAAAGCATGTTTCAGTTTTCAATGATCGAGAACTGGTTAACTAGGTAGAGTGAATTCTCCTTGAAGTGACCTATAAGGACGAGAGAAATATATTAAGAACTATGAATTATTCCAAGCTTCAAAGGATGGCAGTTTGTAACTATGTTTGTAACAAAACTCACGTGTCTGCATTGCCTATTATGGACATATTTCCTCAGCAATGAGCAATATTTTCATCTTTAAAGAGAAATATATACTCAAATTAGACATAAACAAGAACCAAAACTCTCTTTAAAATCAAAACTCAGCACCAAAATTGGGCATGACACCCTGTAAAAGGCCAAAGCACATTTAGGGTAATCATGCCTCCATGGATCATCACTGATGCAACACCTAATATCAGCAAATCTCAAGAATCGCCTAATTATCTTCACCATCGGAAACATCCATGGTGTATTTGTTCTTGGCGTAATCAATTTTGAAGTTGTAATCGCCGTCCGCTACATCCATCGGGGTTGATTTTGGCTCCTTTTTCCTCCTCTTCTTTTCCGCCTTCTTTGTCTTCGGATTGAGTATGCCTTCTGCTGTGTAAAGTTTTTGATTTTGTCGGCCAGAAGGAGGTTGTCCTCTGGTCTTGTCGGCATCCTCGTCTTCACTACCCATGGACTCATCCTCACCATCCTTGGCCAAGCCTTGAGGGTCGCTGCTGACCTGTGTTGATGGTTGCGGTTGTTCGTCCTCCTGAGGCACAAATACGCAAAAAGTGCACTTAACGAGCTTTGCTTCTATTCGCTGTTAAATGTGACTTCTACAATAAGGTATTAATTTTCCCTCCTTTTTTCTCATTTTGAGTTAAAATCACATGTATGCATTCATAGAATTGATAATGATTGTACACGAATATGCAAGTTAAGACCTTTTTTTAACGTGCTCAAGTTATGAAAATTTTTATTCTAGACTAATTCACTGAAGTTGTGTTATTAACCTTAAACATATTCTCGTCGAAATTGAGTGGGCAGCTCGGTGGAACTTCTACAGGATGAAAATCATCGACCGACTGGAGGCTGCCAATAAATGATGATTCACCATTGTAAACTTCATCAATATTAAACTCCTTCCCCAATTCAGAAACAAGTTTTGCTTCTGATAATTCTGATTGATTCCTCTCTGGGGGCATAGTGTAATATGGGATTTTACCTGCATTGCATCATTTAGAAAACAAAGTTAAAATCTCCTCAATAACAATAACTGCATTAATCGGCTTCTCTATATACATAGTCAGCGGAAGTAGATTGCAGCAAATGACAACTGGATACCTTCATTCCAGTCATGCAGAACAATTCTGGCAGTGGCTTCAACATCCACAATACCACCCTTTTTGAGCTTACCACGAACAGATGCTACCTTCTGTAGAAACTCCTCAACTGTATCAAAGCTTGAGATCTTGTAGATTGTTACAAGCACTTTGGCAGGGCAGAGCTTGAGAATCTCCTTCACTGTATTTACCAATAAAATCAATTGATTAATATCCACCAACAGAGCCCAATATATCAAATGAGATCATGTGTGAAGAAGATAAATGCACTGCACCCTCAGTTTCCAAATAAAATTACTACAGTTGGCCGTGCAAAGCCCTTAGATACATTAAATCAATTTTCTACTTACAGACTTCCATCCAACGAGGACTTCATTCTAAGAAAGCAATTGGAAGAACATACTAAAAAATCACCAGGAGAAAATGACACAAACACTTGCTTATGTAATTAAAAGAGAATACTAAAATTGAACAGTCACAATGTGTTCTGTCTCTGTATCAGTGCCAAATAAAAGCCAAACTTCATATCAGAATTGCTTACCTGGAGTAATTGGATCATCTAACTTCTCAATACGTTTGCAGTTTCTGAGAGCAATAGTTGCGTCATTCCCTGAAGACCTTAGCATGACTACACCAGGACAGTCCAGCAACTTAACATTCTTATCTAACTGAACTTCTTGCATTGACCTTGTCAATCCTGGAGTGGCACCAACATTGACAACGTGAGATCTCTTCAAGCTATTTATCAGACTGCTCTTACCAACATTAGGCAAGCCAATAACACCCACGGTAATCGACTTCTTAATCTGCACAAGGCCAATGCAAAGAAGAAGATAAAATCTAGAAAAGCGCAGCAAGGCGGAAGCAGTCCCAGACATCAACAGTCTAAGGTAATTTTAACCAAGAGAGAATCAAATAAACTCAAGAACGCATTTGGACTGAAGAAGATTACGGACCTCATGACTTCTAGAGTAATTCTTGAGCAATTTAATAAGAGTTTCTGCGCCAAGACAATCACTGGTTTGCAAAAGACTGCTCGGTTTTGCAGCCTTTGAAGATTTCCAGCCCAAATTAGATCTCTGCTCTTGCGTGCTGCACTTAAAAGCAACTGCTGGCAATTCTTCCCTGAGATACTTGAGCCATTTCTCTACAGCTTCTTTTGGCACAAGGTCTGACAGAAAACATTCAGCAAACGGACTCAGCGAGGATGCCAAAGAGTATGTTGCTTGAGATGGCCGGTGTATATTTACACATGGAAGCAGTTTTCCACGAGATTGTGTATGTTGATAATAACATCATAGACAAATCACAGTTTATAAATGCCGGTTTATCTAGCAAGCATTGGGAAAGCTCATTGACATCCAAAGCTAGCAAGTGATTTGAATAGCAGAATGAAAAAATGAAAGCAGTACCAATCTTATTCAGGAGCAACACCAAATGCTTATCAGGACCCACTTTCATCACCATCTTCTCCATATCTACACAACGTGTACCAAGGGGATCCCTAGCATCAAGAACCTCCAAAATGACATCTGAGGCTTCAATAACTTTGACTAATTCCTTGTAGAATGCTCTTTCAGAGTTCTCTGTGTAAAGGAAAGATGGCATGAAACAACAAAAGCAGAGATAAAAGGAAAAGTAACTAATAGGGATGGCCTGACGCCTAAAACATGTCACTCAAGAACACTAACAATCAACATACCGCGATTTTTCCCAGTATTTGCAATTTTGTCAGGGCCTTTCTCCTCTCCAAAATCCTGTTCTTTTGTCGAAGTTATGTCATCGTTCGCCAGCAACCCCAACTTCCTCTTTTGAGCCTGGCATACGTAAAAACCAAAATTGTTGAGGGATTGGGACAAAGGAGTAATTAAAAGATACCGTGCATCTTAAGTAATACCCTGTGGGCAAACTCTCCAACAAACGTTATTGTGTACCCACAAACATAACGTGCTTCCCGTTCATATAGGATATAAATATACAGCAAGAGCTGCAACAACATTATACAGACGAGACATGGCAAAACAAAGGGCCTTCGGCTACAAGCTGAACCTGAATGCCGGTCCAAAGCATAGACAGGTTCTACCAGGGCAATTTTCCCCCTATTTTCGTCAATGTTGATAGACTGGAACAGACAAACTTTCCAGGAAAGGCGAATGATCCGCAGCTTTGTAAGGTCTGTCAAATGAATGCAATCATACATTGAAAAAACCAGCACCAGTAAAATTGGTCGGTTCTACAATTCTCTAGCGAGCGCGCTCTATTCAGCACCATAGACATCATCCAAACTTCAGTGTAACAGCTGAAACAATTCATAAAATCGATTACCCTTTCCTTGCGGGCGGCTTTCTTCTCCTCCAATTCCTCGAGGACGCGGGCCCGCCGCTCTTCGAGGGCCTTGAGCTCCTGCTCCTTGAACGGCCAATCGTTGGGAATGCCGGGGTCCTTCTCGACCTTGCGCTTCTGGTTGAAGCCCAGCTTCTTCGCCTCCTTGGCCTTCTTCTTGTGGTGCTCCTTCACCTTCCTGATGATCTTGTACTTCTTCTTCAGCGGCACTCTCTTGCTCTTGCTCTCTGAGCCACAGAAAACCATCCCCGAGAAAAACAACAGTCAAGACCAAAAAAAAAACGGGAATCGTTCCGAACGGCCAAACCGACGGCGATTTCAGTCTTTGCGAAGAATGAATTGGCTTACTTACTTTTGCTCCTCTTCACCATCTTGAGCTCCTGCTACGGATTTCAGCGCAAGCTTACAATCAACTGAGAAGGAACGGAAACGCAGGGGTAAGTTTGGTGTTCGGAGGGAAGGAGATGATGGAACGCAGGGACGCTGACAGGCGGGAATTAGGGTTTACGCCATGACCATGAACGATGCGGAGTCGGGTCGGTTTTGGGCCATTGGCCGGATCCTGTTTTGATGAATTTGGGCTCGTGATAACTGGTTTCATTTTTGGGCCTAAGGTAAAAGCTTCAATTGGGCGACAGCGTGAGATCATACAATTGGAGGAAAATCGAGGATGAATCGAATCGAATGGAATCGAGATGTTGGATTTTGATAGAAATGATATCATTTCTACTTGGAAAATAACGAAAGAAATAATTCTAGTTTAAAATGTGCTAGACATTTTTCCTAGCCATAGAAAAAGGATCGACTTTTTCCGAAATTCATGTCCTTTCTTTTTCTAAATATCTCACGTCATTTACGGTTGTACGCGAAAGTTTCAAATTCATTTTCGAAATCATTCACTTTTAGGTCATCAATTTGAAGGAAGATTCTCTCTTTTTACTGTCGTGGAAGGAGCTCGTGCCGGTATATATGACAAATTTTGTCCCTGAAGTTCCGTGTATTATAATTTTAGCCAAATTTATTTTGTATTATTGTTCTACTGATTCATAAGTTTTAGCCATTTTTTGGAAATTATTTTTAACTCAGATTTTGTCTTTTTTGCACGCACATTATGTGTTGCTTCTAGCTTAATGCCATATATGTTCTTTATCTATACCTAAAAATTATTCACTACATTATTGTTTCTATGAGTCAATATCCCATATATATATATATATATATATCTTAATTTTGATAATTTGAACTATACCCACTAAATGCAAATCACAAGGCGCTCAATTTACATGTTTTATTTAGGACGAAGCTATACTTTTAATTTCTATTCCATCCGAACTTTTTCTCTATCAAAAAAGAAATCTGTAAAATGGTATTTCCAGTTAGGCGTGATCGACTCCCGGTCCGATCCTACCCATGAACCGATCGTTGAGTTCTTCCAAAGTAGATACTGCCCAAGTAACAGAGCTCAGTGCGGTCGATCGGTCGATCTCACCTTCGCCTCCGCCGTCTGCAGCTGCCTTCATCCTCCTCCTGGTCAACTCTCTTCCTTGTCCCACCTTGCACCTTCTTGTGGCGTCGTTTTTCCCTCCCGCGCCATAATTCATTCGAACGATAATTAGGTGAAGCAACGTAGAAGGATCAGGCAGCTATTCTAGCACTCATCTAGCTTCAATTTGCATGAGATTAAGTTCAATTGATGGCTGGAGCCGTCCTCCCCACGGCAGAACTGACCACCACCAGCTACCCGATCCTCCTCCCCTACGAGATCGAGTGCTCTTTCCTCTCCAACGTCAAGCTCGGACCCGAAGGCTTGCCGTTGCTTAGCTACTCGATTCAGCTCACATCGTCCTTCTTGATCCTCATGACTCATCATCTCATCTTCGTCTCAGACTCCTCCTCCGTCGCCGTCTACTATACGCCCCTGGCGTCCACTATGCACATATTCTTGCCGAAGAAATCGATCAAATTGATGTTTGCATCGCGGCGGCTCAAGTTCCAACTATCCATGGGCTTGGACGGGCGAGTGGGTGGCTTGAGGATGAGCTCGCTCGCGGTAACGTTGGTGATGAGAGAGAAGGATGACGTGACGGCATTTGTGGACAAATCTAGGCATAATTGAGGCGCTAGGGCTTGGGAGAGAGAAGGAGAGCAAGAGCACGAATTCAGGACAATCGATTATTAGGTTTACATTGAAGAAATAAAATGATAATAAAAATATCTGGTCCGGTTCCTCCTGAACAGTATCGAAAATCACTGATTCCAATTTTATGGAACCGAGAACCAGATCAGCACCCCTAAGAATCGCTCAGAATCGACTGGTTCGGTAAATCTGTGTTGCTCACCCTTATTTCCAGTCAATTGTTTTCTCTCTCTTTTTTGGGTGCATTATCCAACATTTTATTAATATTAACCTAAATTTTATAGGCATTACCCTAAAATTTCTCAATTTTCTGAATTGCATTATCCACACGTTATTCAAGTGGGAGACCTTATTTTCATATGCATTACCCCTAAAAAAATTCGTCCTCTTACTCTTGGAGCATCCAATTTCGATAATTAATTTTTTTTTTTGAATCACGAATTGTCCGTAAAATCATATCTCCTCAACTACTTTCGCGTGCATTTTTACATAAAAAAGAATTAAACAAGGCATCAAAACCTCTGCTCACGATATTATTTTCCGCGAAAGGAAAAAGACGGACTGGGGCCGTCTTTTCGCCCGTCTCCATAGCCGTTTTTCAGTTGTTGTTTTCACAGTACACTTCGCAGCTGCGGTACACTTTCGCCGCCCCGGGAAAAACAAGGGACGCACAAATCCAATCCTCTTTCATCGCCTCCCTAGCCTCGTGCCCTAATCCCTTCGATTCCGCTCCCTCTCCTCGTCCATCCGCCCGTCCCTCGCTGCTCGATTCGGCCGCGTCGTTCGATTCCAGCACGCTCCTTCGTTTCCCTGCTTTAGCGCCGATTGATTTGTTGGCTGTTTCTCTGATGAGATTCCTCGGTCCGTTGAGCTGATCTGGCCTCCGAGGGTGCCGGAGCGAACCGGATGTGCTGATCGAGGGCTGCTCCGGGTGCTCCGCCGATGGCAGAGTGCGCGGCGGCCGCCGCATCGTGCATCATGCTGCATTCGCGCGGAGGCGGCGTCAAGGGAGGCGGCTTCGGCCGGAAGTCGTGTTTTAGGTACAGAACGCTGTTTAAGTGTTGTCATCGGCCTCGGTTCCGTTTCCGCTCTGCGTTTCGCAAGTTTTCGAATCGGATTCTGCCATTAGAGTGTAGATCTGCTGGGGATGGCATCGCTCTTACGTTCGAGTGCTTTTTTTTTTTTATGTTGAAGGAGGCATGGCTATATGAGCAGTGATATTATCCATATTCCGAGAGGTGGAATTCGTAGACTCGGTACCGGCAGTGCAAAAAGAAGGCTAGATTATCTGCAGAAGGCATCGTCTGTTGGCTGTCGTTGCGTAGCTTCTCTTGTGGACTTCGATGGTGCGACAGCGTTGGAGTTCACAACTATGGTTGATCAGGCACTTTTAATGGCGAGTATCCTTCTTACATACATGGCTGGAGTTGTTCCCATTGGGAAGCCTAGATTTTGTCCTAGAAGGTTCATTTCTGTCGATGACGCCGTCAATGAAGGCTCAACCCTGTCTGGTAGGTAAGGTTAGACCTCAAAAAGATTCCAAGGTCTATCTTTGATATAGGATATTTATGTCTTGTGTATTCTTTCTACCTTCAGCTGGTTTTTGTTTTGTATTGCTTGTTTTTCCGTATCACTCCCTTTTCCCCGATGGGTTCATGTAACTTTGCTGCTTGCAGTGATGTAAAGGTTGATGACCACTTTCGAGAGTGCGCTTGGGATGTAATAAAAGGAAAGCTAGTGGAATCTCTAGAAGCCATTGACCATGCCAGGGTTTCAGAAGATAAATTTCAAGAGTTGGAAAAGCTTCATGCAAAAAAATCTTTAAGTTTGAATGCTATCGCTGGGGGTCCCAGACTACGGTTGGTTTGGGCTGTTCTTACGCATCTTGAGAAAGAGGCAGGCACTGTCTTATTTGTCACATTATGCTACAGTCAGTAGTCTCAAGTCACTTTGCACTTCCTGGAAGTCGCTATTTTAGCTGAAATATGTGGCTATGTTGTGACTGAACGATTCGCTAATGTTATGTATTTTTGCAGGTGGACAGCATCCCAGGAAGTTTTGAAAATGGGACTGTGGAAGATTGGTTGGTTCTGTTTTCTGGAATCATACAGAGTTCCTCTCGCCCCGTGTGTGTGGCTTGGCTAGACAATGAACTTTCTGAAAGAAGCAGCGATGTTAAAGAGGTGCCTTTCAAGTTATTCAACTCAGCGTGGGTAGACATGCACTCTCGTGTGCATGCATGGGTATATTCTCATGTTTAACTTTCAAGTTGATTGATGCCCCATTCCTCATCTTGTCAGGCACTAGTTACTTTGATTCTCGAGAAATTAGAAGGAGACAGCACCGTACTTCAGAAGATCAGGAGATCGGGCAAGGAGGATCTTTTTGCAGAATTACTCTGCTTTTTAAAGTTTGGTTCTCTCAGGTAGATGGCGCTCTTTGTTGGTTCAAGTCTTTAATGAAATTAAGCTGAAAGCATACTTGAAACTGCCAATATGAAATAGCTAGTTCATGAAAGATGCGAACTGGCTAAGACTGCTGGTTCCTGGAACCTGAGACGAAGTTGAAAACATAATCTTGAACTCTTTTAATGCAGGTGATTTTACTGGCTTAAGGAAGATGCCTTAAACTTTATGGGTTTTGATGGGCTTCAATATCTCTCTGAGAGAGAGAGAGAGAGAGAGAGAGAGAGAGAGAGAGAGAGAGAGAGAGAGAGAGAGAGAGAGAGAGAGAGAGTAATGGAGACATCTTTAATACTAAATAACAATATCTGCCAATGATTAACTGCTTACAGTTCCAATTTGCTATGTTCTGTAATTATGAACCTGGAAGCAAAGTAATATGTCATTGGAGAGAGAGAGAGAGAGAGAGAGAGAGAGAATAATGGGGACATCTTTAATAGCAAATAACAATATCTGCCGATGATTAACTGTTTACAGTTCCAATTTGCTATGGTCCATAATTATGAACCTGGAAGCGAAGTAATACATCATTGGAAGGCATTAACATAGATAAAGATTGTATATCTTGTTTTCCTTCACGTGTATGGCAGAGCAATCCCAATGCGCTCTCTCTGTTTTTTTCCCTTCTGGACATGTCATGGTGTTACTACAAGCTATACATGCTTCTTTGCTCCCTGCTGCCTTGCTTTTTTACAACACTCAGTGCAGCCTTTCAGCATCATTGTTATCTCTTTTCATAGCACTTCATTTGCAGAACTGTTTGGACGCCATTCTAATACCTCTCTCAATGGACTGGCAGGAAGGATTGCTATTACAACAGTTGCTTGTTTGTCTCACAGGGGATTTCCATTTTAGAAGATCTGGTGATTGCTATAGCAGATGGCATTGCAAGTATCTATTTGGAGCTCATCTCTGTAGATGGAAATTTGTCAAATGAGTTGAATAATTTGGACTTGGCTCTGTGCTCTTTGTCAACCCGAGCTCTTCAAAGATTACGTAATGAGGTAGTATTTTTTATTTCGTTGCTAATGGACCAAATAAAGCCTTTCCTTTAAGGAGGTGTGTGGCTGAGAGTGTGTTTCTCCCCTTAAATGTTATTTGTTTGATTATGCGTGTTTCTCTAAATAGACAAGCATTTTCCTGTTCTTGTTTCTTCTTTGTGATTGCTAGGTGTTAAATGGAGAGTAAAGTGATGTGATCTTCTCTCTTTCCATTTTACGTCCTCCCACCTATTGCTTATTGGACAGTAGGAGCAAGAAGGTGGTCCCAGACTGTGGCTTATTGGTTCAGAGAGATGTTCTTAGCATTACGCGTGCAAGCTAAATCTTAGACATAATGATTTGATTGGGCCACTATTTTATGAAAGCCCATTGCAACCCAGTGAGCCTTTCATGTGTTTACAATGAATCACTCTGTTGCATACCGGATGAATTGACATAAGGACCAAATCCTAAATGGTCAAGGGAAATGGTGGGTAGTGTTGTATATTTTCACCTTTGGTAGTACAAACGGAATGAGTAAATACAAAATGTCACATCAGATAAAAGAACGCAAAAGAGAGCATATCTTGGGCCTTGAATTGTTTTGCAATTGCTTTATATTAATCCGGAAAGTGAACTGTTCATTTAAACAATATTTTGGTGTTTTCATGGGACATAGTTGTGACACAGAATTTGAGTATATGCATTTGACTTGTTAACTGTTTTTAATGGTTTCTGTATATGGACCACTGAAGATTTAGGTGTGTTTTGTTTAGGCATCATATATTTTCTTGTTATCTTCTTTGGACCATATGTTGTATATTGCTGCATTTGTTAATTTTGTTTTTCGTATAAGAAGATTTCCACCTAATTTAGCCTTTTCTTTTCTCCAACAGGTGGCTTTGAACCTGTGGTTGCATCAAAACATAGAGGCAGTAGTTTCAATGTATGAGGATCGCTTTGACCTCTGTATACTCCAGAGTCAGCCTGTTGAGGAACCAAGCAAAAGCATCTCAGAAAATCTTGGTTGGTGGGACAAATATTTTGGGAAGAACTCTGGAACAAGGATATCTCCTCTTCATCATGTCGTCATTGGCCATTTTTCAATGCCTGTGAAACGAACTAAAGAACTAAGGGCCCTAACAGGATGGTAAGTTCTTTCTGTTATGGCCAATTTTTTGTTTTATTTTTTGGTAAATTTGGTATGACCACTAGCACACTTGCCGTTTAGATATCTTGCAATGTGTTGTTGATACCAAAAATACTCTTATTTAGATGCCCATGTTTTAATTGAATGTCCTGGTGATTTTCCTTATCTTAGATTAGACGTATGAGTACTTGCAGAATCAACTGGAAATTGTCTATGAGAATTTGATTTCCAGGAGTTTTTCTATATTACAATGTATAGGCAGGAGTGGATGCGAAATCAACTTGAAATTGTCCACAAGGAAATGTCAAACTAACACGGTTGATTGGAAGAAGTACACTGTCTCTGAGCGGTTCAATAGATGTGGAGATGTGTTAGAAAATTCAACCCAAAAGCTTAAGCTGTTAGGTAGAGGGGACTACATGTATAAAAGGCCCATGTAACCCCACAGACAAGTGATGTGGGATACTTTGGCAAGATGGTTCGAATGAGTGTGAGTCGTAGTGGTTTGGTAAATGATTAGGCTAAGCAGCACTTGGATCGATTCTGATCAACTGTTCTCATCTATCGAATGGCATGTGGTTTGATCATGTTACCCTCCAATACATCTGAATATCTTAAATATGACTTAACGCCTAAACTAGAGCAACTGAAAGTAATGCCTTCTCTCGTCTTCTTATTTAGATATTCCAAGTTTTATCTGTAGTACTGAAGCTAAGAAATGAGATTGAGACTTGCTGGGGGCTGAGATGGTGAATTGAAACTACTGATTCGGGTCCTTGATACACCGAGTTGTCAGGCCAATACTTTATATTGGTAAACATTGGATTGTTAAAGCTGACAAAAAAGATTAAAGTTCTTATGTCTCTTATATTGGTACAGACATCCACTCTAATAGTTGCTACATAAGATCCATCTGACGCTCCTTTGTAAATTAGACTTAGTTTCATAACGTTAAGCGCAGCGAAAGATAAGTGAAAGTGATGCAGGAGCCTAATGCACCAACTTCGATTGTATGCAAATAGGCATGTTACTGTGAATAAGTTGGATAGCTATGATTTGGATATTTTCTTAGATATTGACCACATTTTCTTAAAATTTTTTATATTCTGCTTAATTCAACATTTATTTTGGTTCACTTCTACCATTTTTTGCTTCTCCAACATATTCTCCAACGATGATATCTTTACCATTCTTCTATGGGCTTGTGAATGATTTATGCCTTTTAACACAAACATCCATACTCCGGGGTCGGTGGCCTCTCTGTCAAGAAGTACAATGCTATGTGAGGAAACTAGTATCACTCACTTAATTCTTGGCTGGCACTTTTCCTAGTTTGTTACATGCAAACTTCAAAGGGCAGGTTCCTGCATATAGGTCTTTGCTTGGTTCCTTTGATCAATCAGATTCTATGTAGAAATATTTCTTCGAGTGGTGACATTAGTCTGGTCCATAAGAATCTTGCAATGTGGTAGCTGATAATGGGCGTATACATGTAGCCTAAACGTTCGAGATTTTTCAGCTAAGTAAGTATCTGACACGTGTATTAGCACTGCACCAACTATTAGCATGCTTCTGCCAGCACAGCTACCTTAGTACGAGTGCAGACATGACTGGTTGTTCAACTTTCTAAATGCAGGAGGTACTACTTCAGTCTTTTTCTTGAATTATCAGACATAATTATGCCGGTTATCAGAACCCTCTTTAAGAAAGTCAGTGACGCTGTATCCTTCTTCCTTGTTTGCTTGATCGGGAGATCGCTGGGACTCATCTACACTGGAATTAGGCAGTCCCTTAGGTGGAAGTGAGGCATCGTTTTGACAGTTTTGTTTTGCAATTTTCCTCATCTAACATTCTTTCCTTTAGGTGGTATTATTGGTTCTGCTCCGAAGTTAAGAACGATCACTGATGTGGGCTTCTTTCACACTCCACAGATTTTTTTGTCGCTCGGGACCATTTAAGGCCATTCTGATACACTTCGAAAGTCTTTAATTGTGCCCGCCATATAATTGAAATCTCTCTTTCTCCCCCTTCTTTTGGTGGACTGGTAATGAAAACATCAAGGATGCCGAGATCCTTTTTATAAAGCGAAACATCTATTAAATGCTATCTCCCTTTATTTGGTTCGAGCAGGCACGACATGTATCCGACACCAAGGCAATCGAAACATTGAAAATGTCTGTACATGTACACCTTTTAAAAGTTAAAGAGAAGTTGCATTGTGTTGCGTTGCTTTGTGGAGACTCAGGTACACACTAGAAAATGAAATAGAGCACCCAAAGAAGAGCTATATGGGCTTTTGTCCCTCTCTACAGGAAAGTGCTTTAATTTGAAATGCACAATAGTCATATTTCGCCCTTCCCTTATTCATAATTGCTGTACAAGAATTTTTTCTAGAATAATCTCTCTTAGTTATATTTTTGTTAATTATTTGTCATACTATACTACTATAGGCTGTAAGACGATCAAAGATTACGCGATTAAGATGAGGTGGCAGCGGATTTCCTGCTTAATAATTTGTTATATTTTATTGATTTCGAACGATTAAAGGCGGGAGGAGGGACATCAATCACTAGCTGAATTGATGGTAATACTTTCTAAAAGATCATGGAGGATGAAAACCAAAGAGGCAAGTTTGAGAAGATAATCCTTGTGCCCTACCATCTTCACATGGAAATCTCTCTTTTTGCTCAGAAACTTCTTATTGCACGCTAATCAACTCCTGGTGTCCCCAACTTTATGAAAAGCAAAAAAGCAAAAAAAAGGTCCCCCACTTTAGAACAAGGCCCCCGCCATCTATCAAAAACCTAATTTTTAGAAAATTTAAGATAAAACATACTATGATCAAGTTTGTCACAGCTCATTCAATTACAGCATTAATAAACATTAGGGTTTTCTTTTCGCTAAAGCGTTCCTCTATGGAATGCGAAATCGGCAAATCACGGGTTTTTGCTATGGCATTGTGGCGATGGGACCCTGTTTTTTCCTCGGTTAATGGAATCTAAATGGTTGATAATCTACACTCATTAATCATTTTCACCCTTTTCTTTAAAAAGAAAAAAAGAAGTCCAAAAATTAAATAAAGAGGAAATTAACCTTTAACCATTCAATCCAACGTTCCCTTTTTTCCCTTGGCCAATGAATCCACTGTTCGCAAGACACGATGCTATATGCCGTTTCACGTTGCTGTGGAGTAATCAATCATAGTACAATCATCAGATTTATCGTCAGACATAAACTTGTGTTGTGGGTATTCGAAAGGTGGACCACACGAAATGGTCATGGCTACTTTCTTAGTCTTCTTCTTGTTGGACGTTTTTCCATTGAAAGCAACCTTGCACGAGACCCGCACAGGCAAGTGGAACTGCTAAAGATCTGATTTTTCTCACTAGTTTCAGATACGAGACCTGATTTTCTTCAAAAAAGATAAAAAGAAAAAGAAAAGTATGATAATTTTCATTTTTATATCTTGTACTTTTTTAACTATAAGCCAACTAAGCTTCTTCAGTCTTTTTATCGGGAGACCTTCAATTTTGGATAATTTCATATGTGAGACTGTCGTTGCATGGTCGAAGGTTTAGGTTAGTTCCATCGCAAACTAGAGATTTTTTTTCACAACAATCTCAGGACACGTGTAGAAATTCGGCTGATTAAGCAATAGCTAAGCTGTTCCAAAATTTCGATAAAAAGCATTATTAAATATTTTCATATTTCGATGTTCCCCTCTCATGTGTAGACTAGACTTTGACCTATGACTAAAGCATAGAAATATGTAGTTAGAGGATGAATGGAGATAGGAAAACTTTAAATTTAGAACATTCAGCTCTGATACTTTGTGAAATTTTGTGAAATCATTGTCAATTGTAAGGTTCATATATTTAGACGAAGGCCAATTCAATGTTTAAACATTTAACAATGAGAAAACATATAATGTTTATTCAAAGAATCTGAAAGGGTAAACCATCAGTCCAACAAACTGAACTTAAGAAAATAATAGCAGGAGGCTGTATTTTATGTATTTTGTATTTCCATATTTGTATATACATATCTCTGTTAACTTTGTCACCTTTATAAACTTTCCTATTGACTGCCATTCTTTAAAGGAAGAATCTCTATCTGACTGCAAATTTGTAACCTTCTCTCTCGATGCAGAGGTGAGACTAAGACGTAAGGATGGCGACCCATTAAGCCACGTCAGAAAAATAAAATCAATTACATATATTAACAACTAGATTCAACAAATTATAAAGGTGATCACTCGTCCAGTTTAAAGTTTCTTATTAGCTTGTATTAATTAAATATTTTTGGAAGGAATGTGTTTTAAATGGTGATGCGATTAGCTATTAAAAAATGGAGATATCATTGGATTGTTGCAATATGTCATACAACATCATATCGTATATCATGGGTTACGAAAAACTCTGAAGAGAGAACATGATCCCCAATCAAATCGATGATCTTCTAACTCGAAATGTCGAGTGTACACCTAATGGCATTTTGTGTATACTTGTTTGAGGATTCGAGGGTTTTGTCTCGGTAACTTTTTTTTTTCCTCCGAGATTAAAGCTGATTACAATTCAAAGAACATGTTAAGTGGATCAAATGATCCAAAAAGAGCTCCAATTAGTCTCTTTACCTGGACTCTTGTTGGAGGATGAAGCCAAATATTGTTATTAAGGGTTTTTTTGTCTTTTCTATTAATTTTGCTTTTAGGTTAAAAGCTACGCTTTATATATCAGCTATTGATAGAAGTTAGCTGTCAAGCGCTGAGAAGAAAATAGAGAGAAAAGAAAAGAGAGAAGAAAAAAGTGAGTTTTTTCTTTGTGAGTGTTCTTAGTCTCTTTGTGCTCCGATCTTGAGAGAAGATCATAATTGTATTCCTACTTTCTTCGAAGTCTAGTGGATTCGCAGAGTGCCTCTGCGGGGAGACGTAGCCCAAGTTTGGGTGAACTTCGATAACAAATTTTCTGGTGTGTTCTTTTCGATTCTGTTCTTTTATTATTATATTCTGCTAGTGAGGATCGTTTGCTTGGGTTATTTTCTGGAATCGGTGCTCGATTCCCAACAATTGGTATCAGAGCTTGGTTGGTTAATCGAGAACATCGAGGGGTTTTTCGGTGACTTTTGATTGAAAGCAAACGATATGGCAGAAGATAAAATCAGGATCGATAAGTTCGACGGGCAGGATTTCGGATGGTGGAAACTCCAAATCGAGGATTATCTTTATCAGAAAGATCTCTATGCACCACTTGAGGGTTGGAAACCTGAAATAGCGGAAGTGGATCCAACAGCAGAATCAGGATGGAAAATTCTTGATCGAAAGGCATTAGGTGCGATTCATCTAGGGTTGACGAAAAAGACAGGGTACCACATTGCGAAAGCAAAAACTGCAAAAGAAGCCATGGATATTCTTACGAATATATATGAGAAGCCATCCACATCAAATCAGGTATTTTTGCTGAAGAAGTTGGTTAATATGAAGTTATCTGATAGAGGTTCCGTAGTAGAGCATATTAATAGTTTCACGCAAGTCACAGGTCAGTTGGAATCCGCAAGCATAAATCTGGATATGAAGCTTCAAGCTTTATTATTTTTATGTTCTCTTCCGAAAGCTACAACACCGCAAGGTGCGGGAATTTCGAGCACCATGAAGGATGATTTGACTCGGATGATGCTTGTGAGTAGTATCATGGATGAAGAGATGCGAAGAAAAGTCTCGAGTGGAAATAATTTTTCGCCATCTACATCTTCCACAAGACTAGCAAGTGGAGAACCGTGGGAGAAGTAAAAGCGAGAGGAAAATTCAGTGGGCGCTGTAGATCACAGTCAAGGGGAAAGAGAGAGGTCGCAAAAGATGAGTGTTGGTTTTGTCACTAGACTGGACATCGGAGGTTTCAATGTGAGGCCTACAAAAAGAAGCAGCGGGATGAGAATCAAGGAGCTAATGTGGTTAGCGATGAACCTTCGCTAGAGAACTTGTGTTTATCTGCAGGGTATGACTTGACGACAGACAAGTGGTTTATTGACTCCGGTGCTTCTTTCCATTGCACCTCGCAAAAAGACATATTTGCTGATTATGCCAGTGGAGATTTTGGGCAAGTGGTTGTGGGAAACGGCCATATGTGTCCAATTGTTGGAAGAGGAACTGTGATTGTGAACATCTCAGGTGGAGGACGTCTAGTTTTGCATGAAACTAGACATATCCCAGAATTAAAGAAAAATCTGATCTCAACTAGTAAACTTGATCAAGAAGGTTTGGTAACAACCTTTGGATGCGGAGAGTGGAAGGTTACCTCAGGGGCAAGTGTAGTAGCAAAGGGAAAACGTACAGGCACGCTTTACCTTCTCCAGGGAGACAATATCAGTAATATGGTTGCAACTACAGTGGCTACAGGTAATTTGTCTATTTTTTGGCATTATCGTTTGGGACATCTTGGTGAAAAGGGTGTAAAGCAGTTACACTCAAGGAAGTTACTTCCAGGTTTGCAGAAAGTTGAATTAGATTTCTGTGAGAGTTGCATTTATGGAAAAAAAAGGCAGTCAGTTTTCAGTTGAATGGGCGACAGAATAAAGGTAAAAAATTAGAGTTGGTTCATACGGATGTGTGGGGACCGGCTCAGGAACTCTCTTATGGTGGTAAGAGATATTTTGTCACATTCATTGATGATGCAACAAGGAAGACTTGGGTCTATGCTCTCAGAGAAAAATCAGAAGTATTCGGGATGTTCAAAATGTGGAAGGCCATGGTAGAAAAAGAGACAGGTTATCAAATTAAAGCTCTAAAATCTGATAATGGTGGTGAATACACGAGTAAGGAATTTGCAGAATACTGGAGCCGAGAAGGTATACACGGGTTGAAGACTATTCCTAGAACTCCTCAAGAGAATGGTGTAGCTGAGAGGATGAATAGAACCATTCTGGAACGTGCGAGATGCATGAGGCTACATGCGGGTCTTCCGTTACACTTATGGGCTGCTTACACTTGATGCAGCTGTTTATCTGATTAATAGGAGTCCATCTAGTGCGCTTGATGGAGAAATACCGCAAGAGCAGTGGTCAGGTAAAAAGATTGATTATTCATATTTAA